GTTCAGCCCTGATTAGTCCCCAAGGGTACGGTTCTCCAGTGCTCTTTTTTTTTTCACTCAGGAGAAGGTAAATCACAAGGTAAAATTACTGCATCATTTTTGCAAATGTAATGTCCCTCTTCCCAGCCAGGCACTGCTGCTGACATGCAGCTGGAGCGGAGCCACGATGCTGGCTGTTCCACTGACCCATCCAGGACGCACCGTACCTACTGTGCGCATGTGTTGCTCAGATGTCTTGCACATGCTCAGCAAATCCGACATGCTCTTGATGCCTCAGTCCTATAATGTGTGTGCAAATCAACTGTGCAGCACATGGATGACAAAGCACACACAGAAATCCCAAGCAGAAATCTTGCCTACCTCACTGGGGAGAGAGAAAAAAATAGTCTTATTTCTATCTGTGTCCCTGAAAGCTGATTAAGGTGTGTGAATTCTCTCTCTACTGTCTTCTTTTGATCAGTGTAACTATCTGTAAAGCACATGGGACTCCACAGTGGACATATCCTCAATTCAAAGCTGGTATGTAGGCCAAACGTAAATTATAACGTATGTCTGAGCTTGTTAGCGTATAAATAGTAAGACCATGGTACTACAGAGTACTAGAAAGGTAAGTCCAGGAGGTTTTTCCCTCTGTTTCAAAAATTCAAAATAAAGATATGTATGCACATCTTTTCAAAGAAACTTATTCTGCCCAACTGTGCCTATATCTCACACCAGAAAAACTCAATTGCCTTTTAGGAATAATGATTTTAATGCTATTAGCCTTTCAGTAAGTTTTAGAAGCACAAAAAAAAACCCAAACCCAAACCCAACAAAACTAGAGGAGAAGGAAGACTAAACCAAAAAGCCTTTAAAAACCCCAGACAACCAGTACTACTAGACTGCTCAGCTCCATTATTTCATGAGGACTTTGCATGAAGGAAAACCACACCTGATCTTACCAGAACCCAGCTTTTCAGAGCTGGAAATGGGACATCTGACCCTTTTCTCTGGTTATCTGTGTGTGCTACAAGAAAATACTACGTTGTTCACTTTTAAGATTGTATATCTGCCTATGCCATTGTCAGTCATTTGAACTAAAAGGTGTACATCTGAAATAGGCCTATATTGCTGCTCAGAGGCTTATGTGAAATCAGGGACCATTCCCAGTCCGGTCCAGGGAGATGGTGATCCCAGTCAGAGCCGCTTTCCCCGCAAGGGCAGACGATGCCACCACTACTGCAGACAGCAGGATTGCACGGGGGTCTGCAACGATTGACGGAGCCCCTCGCACATCTGACGGGGGGGGCAGGTTGGAAAGGTACAATTTATGCTGCTGCTGCCCAGCTCCTCCCGGCAGGGCGGGAAGTTTGAAGGAACCTGTTCTCTGTGGTTGCAGTCCTTCCTCAACACTGGCCTTGCTCAGGTGCTGCCCGCAGGGACATAGAGGGTAAAAGGAAATGACAAATCTTCCTGTCCTCTTTTATAAGTATTTTTCATCCCCTCGGTCCCTATTTACAGCTTGTAACGTGCTGTATTGTAAAGGTGTTCCTTACTCTTTTTTTCTAAAAGTGGGAGTAAACTGCTAGCTAGATGTAAAACTGAGATAAGGTGTAAGGCAGGCACGCCAACTCCGACTTTAACTCTACAACAATTCAAGGCTGATTTATATTTTGAACTGTCACTATATGGTTTACAAGGGGAAAAGTGCAAGTAAAGATTGAGATTTTTCCTTCTATAAATTGTGGAAGGGTGAGGGGGAAGTGACAGATCTCATTTAAAAACCTTATTGAAGTAGCCGTGTTGAATGATGGTGCCATTGCTTGTCTCTGTGTCTCATTGTCATAATGTAAGCCCTTTTATAGTTAGAAGAAACCACAGAAGTCAGAGTAAAGTACAACAGATCCAGAAAGAGCTGGAAACTTAAGGAAGAAATAAAAAAAAAAAAACCAACAATAGACATGGGCTGGAGAAGATATTTTATTTATTTGTTACTAGTAGTTAAAATGACGTACAAAATGCTGGGAAGAAAAAACTCCAATTCTATTCAGTTACAAAATAATTAAAACTTCATTTTAAACCAAGTTTTGCTTTGTGAGACCGAGCAAGAAAATACTGCAGCCTTAGGTTATATAGTCCATTGTTTTTAGAATAAAGCAGACATTTAAATACATATTGTGGTTGATATTAAATATCTCATATAATTGTAAGTTAGCAGAACTTTCTTACTCTCAGGCAATAACTAGCAATTCATAGAAGTTCTTTGTATAAAATTTACATATTGGGGGGGGGATCTGCCTCAAGGGGAGTTCCGTCATGATCTATGTACAGGCTGTTTTGGAACATAAAGATTTGTAAAACTTTTATCAATTTTCCTTCAGAATACTAACCTAATCTTAAATAAAGGAGTCAGTAATGTCTGAAGCTTTGCTTAATGGCTAAGGGTTTAGGGACATAGCAGTCACTGTAAAAGACAATGGGAGTTTTGCTGTCAACTTCACATGAAGAAAAAAATTCATTCTTAAGGTGTGCCCATTTCTTGAACAGAAGCCCTAGCTAGTACAAAACTTTCAGCAACGACTGAGACTGGCCCTTTCCCCTGCAAGCCGACTCAAAAAAGTAATTTAAAGAAAAACAACCCCTGCCTATTATCAATGAAAGAGGATTTCTATTAATAATAACATTAAATATCCATCTCTTTCTGTTTAACTATTCACATTCCACACAGTGGAAATCTACCTCCTGTAATTCCAGATTTTAAAATTGGATTTTAAAATCCATGAAGAAATGTGTCAAACCTGCTGAGTGAGAGTACACCAGATGCAATGCTTTTAATAGCATCAATCAACGAGTTGCAATCTCTTAGTCTTACAAATGCAGACCTCACAGCAGTGGATTTTACAGTAAAACTATATTAATTGCGGAGATGCAGGATATCACCAGTAACTGTGTGATGCACTGTGTAACAGCTGGGACATCTAATATAATGACGGCACGCTGGACGCCCCTGTGACATGCCGCTGTATATTTTTTTCCCTTTGGACATATCAGTAAGAGCAGAATTGTCTTCCTCAGCGTTCAATGGACGGAAATGCTGTCAAGAGAATCACCCTGTGGCTGCGAGGCATCTGGTGTGAGAAAGAGCAATTGGACTGATAATGGACACTAGAGAGTATTGCTGCTGAATGGGAAACTGAGTCCTGGACTACCCGAGGCCCATCATACAACCAACACGGACCTAACTCCCATTTCACTCAAATCAGTGATGTCCAGGTCGCTTTCAGGCCCAGTATTGACTCTGGTGTAGGAACACGCCTTTCCTTTGGCACCTCACTGGGCAGGACCGGCTGTCGGGGCCCTGCAGGCGCAGGCGCGGGCAGGAAGGGGTGCGGCACCCCGTCCGTCATCTCTTTACCGCCCAGTTGGAAAGCGCCCTTGCAAAGCCAGCACCCAGGACAGCATGAGTCATTTGCACAGCATGTGGTACGAGATGCAGCCAAGCTTCCCATCGGACCCCCAGGAAAGCAAGGGCAACACGCATGGAAGGCTGTCCCTCAGGTCCAATGGCCCAGGGTCCACCTAGCTAAACGAACTTCTTTTGCAGGACCTTCTGTGCTCTTGCCAAAACCCACAGCCCTGATCAAGTTTCAGCTCCTAATCCTGAAGGAAAGAAAAGGCAGGATATCCTCACAGGTGAGATTCATCGAGCTGTTGGAAGTAGTGTGTCCCCTGTTATGTTTTCTCCCCCCAAATGAGAGGGGCAGTTAGCCCTTAATTTTCAGGAAATTCTCTTTACTTAGTCCAAATCCAGTTTAAAGGCAAGTCTGTGGTAAAAGATATAAAAAGAGGATTATTGCTGGCAAAGTTCTGCATCTCTTTTTCAACAAACTGCATGCCTGTGGCAAAGCTAAAATAACAATAACAATGCAATGTTTACTAGTCATGAATGTCGTGTCTTTTGTCTCTTGTGTGGTTATTGCATTTGCCGTCACATGATGCTTGTTTTAATTTTTGCTTTGCTCTTTATGTACTAAATTACTGCCATTCTGTACTTGATCATGGTTAGCAAGATTTTTGTGCTGTGGTTATGTATGGTTTTATGTATGTGTGTGAAAAAGAGGAGAGAGTTCGGGTACACACAATGGAGTATGCATACAGATACCAATGACTAAAAGATACTGCATATACATATATGTGTAGATATGAAGAATAACTGATATCAGAAATACAAGATATCAAATGGATGTAGTGGCACAAGAACGGGTTTTGATTGATTTAGAGACCCATTAGAATTCCGAAGTGTATTTATAGCCTTGTATATAGTTTCTCTTTAATTTATGTAATATATGACTAGGTATATAAATTAAAGCAAAACGTAAACAGAAGACAATCTCTCTTCCTCTGTGTCTTCCTATTTGTGTATCTTTCCTTTTTCTGCTCCCTTTTGTACTCTCCCTGTCTACTTACTTCGGCCTTTTGCTTTCTAACTTGCTGTAGCTCTGTTTTCCATCCACCTATATTGACTTTTCAACACTCCCACGTCCCCTCATTGTCCTTCAGACATGGCTTTTGGATTACAGTTATTTTTTTTGAAGAAGCATGTTACAAACTCTTGATACAGCTGCTATTTTCAGTGACGGTTTTGCTATGCTTTAAACTGCTTTTTGCCTACTTCATATTTAAGAATAGATTCATGCTTGTCCTCTCACTTTGATGTTTCTCTTAATACAGTAAAAGCAAATAGCACGGCAGGTGAACCCTAGCAAAAGCCACAACCTTCCCAGCAAGCGGCAAAAATGTGAATATCCACTAGGAAACCTAATTCATGACTGTGGGTAAATGGATTTTTTTTTTTTTTTTAGTATTTCACACCCCTGTTAAATTTTTTTGTCATAGTGAACATTCACATATTTTCTTGTACACATCCATTTTCTCTCTTACACACAAATATACACATGTGTGCCCTTCCCTTACATAATTTTTTCTTTGGTTTTTTTGTGGTTTTTTTTTTCTTGTTTTAGGTAATTCACAATTTTATCCCGCCCCAAAGGTAGGCTAGTTCATGCCGCTCTCCCTCACGCTGGCCATGATTGCGTACAGTCAGAGTGCAATCGGTACCATATTTTTCTCAGTTTAGTCCAAGTCAATAGATATACACCGGCATTCCTTAACTCGGGTGATTCTTTTCTTCTTTCTTGGGGGCTGAAGCTCAGGGCAATTGAGTGTAACAGTCATGGTGGTGAATTTCTTGGGCTTGCAGAATGAACAAGATTGGAAGGAGCCTTCCTCTTTACGGACATGCCTGGGGATGTAGAAGGAATTGCACTGGCCGTAGCAGAACCTGTTGATAATGGTACGACTGTTGCAGCCTTCTTCGTGGATAGTTTGTTTGAGGGGTTGAGTTTTACACCAATCCCGCTTTAGGTATTTGCGCTCCGTGATGTGCAGTGCCTCCTGACTAGACTCCAGGACCTCTTCAGCAGGCATCGAGGTGCCTTTTCCTCGTTCTCGATGCCTAGAGCCTGACTGCTGCTGTGTCTGCATTTGCTCTGAATCATTGGGCTGATCTTTGTCAGGAGGAGGGATAGCACCTTGAGATCCACGATTCCTCTTTCTCCCTTCTGCTGCCGGTAGCAGAAATCCCATCAGAAGAAACACAGCGCCGATGGCATACAGTGTGCGGACCATCCTGTATGGAGGAAGTTGAGGGAATAAAGCACAGTTGTGGATTTCAGATATCAACAGAAGTCAGGTATGCAGTAAATTTTCACTTTCATAAAAGAAATACGTGTGTGTGCACGCACGCACTTATAAAAGATAAGCATTTAGCTTTTAGCAGCTGGAAAGCTGTTTCCAAATTGCCAAGTGATAAAAGCTTTAATGTACAGTGATTGAAAGTCAGAGGCTAAAGTAAGTCCAAACAGAATTTCATTTTGTGGAGCACGCATCTTTTTCCAGCTCTTTTCTCCATGTATATTACCCTAGTTAAGAGTTCTCGTTCCCGTCTTATAGCTCACTGACATTAGGAATGTTGCTCCTGACCTACACTGGTGGAAGAACAGATTTCATGCCACACAAGGATCTATATGACATAGCTATCTGCAATACCAGAGGACTAAACGCTTTGACTCAGGAGATCCAGTGCAGCTATGTGCTCGCTAGTCAGACTCAGAAGCTTTGTACAGCTTCTTGCAGAATATGCATCCAGATTATAATGCGCGTGCTATATCCACCTGTTGTATGAATTACAGCATCCCAGGCTCTGTCACATTGTCCCTCTGAATTGGTGCAATGCAGCTGAGCGTAATGAAGCCTAAGGTAAGAGATGTGCAACAAGATAGGCAACCAACATAAAAGAGTATTTAGGTAGAGGTTAGAAGAGATGCATCTGTAATATCAAATTACACCTTCTCACACATTACTGAATCCTTGACAGAAGTTACACAGGTGCGGTCACTGCAAGAAGTGCAGTAAGTAGAGACTATCAGGTTCTTCAAAATGGCACCCCTGCTCCGAACCTAATTACTAGCGTAGGAGCAGCCTTTCTTGCCTCCTTTATTCCACCATTTCTGCTGCTTCCCAAAGCTCTGAGGTCTTTTGGCTGCTCAGTCAGCTCAAGACACCAACCAGCTGGAGAGAAACTCGTCAGCTGTCACACTTTCCCCCTTCCAGAAGTACCGTGGTCTCCACGTTGTTCTGGAAAGCAAGGGATGTGGCAGCAAGAGAGACAGATCGGGGAATGGGGCTCTCAGGGGACCCTGCCTGTGGGGAGCCTGGAAGAAACCACCAGAAATGAGCAACTGCTTGCAAAACCCCCAGCAAAACTGCAAAGAGGCACGTGCATTAAAAAGGGGAAGAACTGTGAAAAAAAACCTGAGAACATCGGTGTCTTCTACCTGCTTGGACAGCTGCAGTTGTATACCTTATTTGACTCGTTTTATCAGTAAGGGACAAAGTAGCGTCTGAGTTGTGTTACTACCCAAGAAACATATGTGAAACCAAGGGCAGCATCCTGGTCGCTTTATCCGCTCTGCCCGAGACCACACAACTAGGCAGGAAAGCAGCCAAATGCCAACGCAGTAAGGGCCACCTAGAGACTCAGTAGAGGCTCAGGGTAAGTATCATTTGCTATAAAAGATAACTGTTAATTTCTCAGTTACTAGGTCTTTCCAGTCACACGGAGAAAATAAATGTTATATTATGCTGTTCAAAAAGCGTTTCTCACCGAATGGACTGGGAAAGGAATCACTGGAGTGGAAAAGTATCACGGGGGGTTCCATTGTATTCAGGGATTTGCTTATGGATCTAATATTTTAAGTGTTTGTCTACAGACTGTTAGAGCACCTAGAGTTCATAATACATATGATAAATATATGCATTCATTTTATTCATTTATGTTTATGTACCAGTATGTCCTATGTTTGGCAGAAGCTTCAGGTTTCAAGCGAGGGATGTAAGCATGACACTGTTGCCGACTCCAACAGACAACTTGGAGGGGCTGCTTTTAATATCTAAATGAAATATGGTACAGAACATGCAATTTTAATAACCTCAAGGCTTTGACATAGAACAAAAAAAAAAAAGTTGGGAATTCTAATCGAAGACTAATGCAGCATCATTTCAAGTGTCAGCTTGGACTTCACGTTTGCTGGATTTTCCCCATTTCTATTACAACCTGAATGTTATTTAAACATGTTTCTTTTTAAATTTAATTTTGTCTTTAAAATATTTTTTTCAGAAGAGTTATAAACCACTGCTTATTTCCTCAAGAGACCAGAATGACTCCTTACTAAACTATTCCTGTTTCTCCAGTGGAAGTATACCCATGCTGTATTTAGACAGTACTTTAATATGCACTTTATTTACTCAACAAGGTGCCAAAGCCTTAAAAGAAAAAAAGAAAACAAACAAAAAAAATGTCATTGCATGCATTTGAAAATAAATTGCTAGTTTATAAGCAGTGCCAGGAAACTTGAGGTGTTTGTTTGGTGTCCCATAACTGAGTTGAAGTTCCACCAACATGCATACTTCTGGACTACTTTTATTTCTGAAACTGATGACCTCCACATTGCTTCACTTTTTTTTTTTCCATAAATGTGCAATTGATGATGCAGTAAGGTCTAGTCACGTGAAAATGAGGTGTACTTTGGGATGGGAATTTGGGGGGAATCTGATGGTAATGTTTGCTATTGTAAGATCTGTACCCCAGATTCACGCGTCTTTATTTAAGCATTTGTTTAGCCCTAAGGAAACGCAAGTACGTGTTTCAATATAATCCTAAACTGGGAGAGGAAATGTAGTTTTTCACTGAGTTGGTTTCCAACCTTAAAGGCAGAAGCTATATTACATACTCATAAAAGAAATCGTGATTCAAATGAAAATCAGCAACTCAGCAAAAACATTTGTTATGTTCACTTCCAAAACACACATCTGAAAGTAAAAGTAATCCAATCATTTAGGGCTAAATACAGTTTAAACATAGACCCACAGAAGAGGCTGTGTGAACTTCATGACCACCCCAGCAGCTCAAGCAGGACCTACTTTTAATAGTAAGTTACTAAACATTTATTAAAAAATTAAGATTATTTTTTAAAAATGCAAAATACAAAGGCAAATGAGGTGCTATGCCTCAGTAAGGAAAGCAGCCAACATGCAGTACAGGCATTCTGCACCACCTCTGGTCCCAAGGCAATGCATTTGCCTGTGAGAGGACACCTCCGTTTGCTTACATTAGAAACTAGACTGGTTCATCCATCTATGAATTAGCATTTGAGCATGTTTCCTTAACAGTTTTTTTACTATTACTGCAAAGAAACAGAACACCGAAGAGTACAAGTAGCTAAATCACTGTTACCGTACCCAAAGTTTTACCAAAAAGAAATTTCTCCTGAAGTAAACGGGTTTTTTCCTTGTCACAGCCATAACTCTGCAGAAGTAGTAGCTTGGGTAGGAGCCATGAGGAATCAGGCTGTAAAATCTTATATTCCAAATTTCTGCAACATTTTCAGTACTTGATACTGGCTGTTACAGAAGCATTGACGTAACCAGAAATCCGTTTGAGAATCTGTTTGAGAATTCTTTGAACAAACAGACGACTACAGCCAAAATGCCTAGGTCAATTCTCACTTACTTTGTTCAGATCCAGAGAGATCTGATGTAATTAATATTTATTTTTAAAAGTAACAAAATACTTCAAAAAAATCTATTCTTTCCATATTTCCCTGCTAAGCTGAGTTCTACTTTTCATCATCTGTAAACTCTTAGTCCTAAAGCCAAGAACAATTTCATTGCTGACTTCAAACAGGAGCAGAATTGGGCCCTAACATTCATATCACCTCATATGTGGTTTATCTAGAGCCTGGGATCTCATCATCTAAAACAGATTAGGAATTTTGTGGATTAATGCTTGCAACTGTTCATAGAGAAGTGTAAATGCTTTCAGGTTTATTATTTCATACAATTAAGCTGTAATTTTTTCATTTATACATTTTCTGCTATAAATTAAGGATTGCCACATGTCAGTTCATAAACAGCACTTCCCTATGAGTTCCCAGGCAGAGTCAGAAAGTTATTACTGAATTTTTTTAGCACAAAGCAACTTATTTAAAAGAACTGGATGGAATCCTGGTTCTGTTGAAATATAGCACAAAATTCTTACAGACCTCAGCAGGCCCATAATTTCATCTGTGAACCATATTTACTAGGAAAATATTATGATGAGACATGGACTCATGTGCTTCGCAGAAAACATGAAAAATAATCTGACGAAGACCTAAAAAAATAAATGTATTTGATGGGCTTCAAATACCAGCCAAAGAAAGAGGCAAAACATAACCCTTTGACTACTGAGAAAATTGAAGTGGTTTATGTCCCAAAGGATCAGAATAATTTTATGCCTGGCTTATTATATATGAATTACAGAAATAGTCTTATGTAATGTTTTCATAGTTCATAGATCTGTATTTTAAAATACACAGAAAGGCATGGCAATGGCGGTTCCCACAGAACGGTAATTTTTCTCTGAGATCAAGACAGCAAAACTACCATCTCTGGCAGAATTTGGATACATTTGCATTTCAGATAATTCCTTCTTGCGAGTCACGGAGGTGGCTTTTTCGCGACACGTTAATGAGCGTAGGCAGCAATACAAGAAAGGGGGAAAAAAAAAACCCCAAAAAACCAACAAACCCCACCCAACCCAACTTTGAAACTTTGAGAATTCCCCCTTTAAGAAAGCATTGCTCTGTAGGCCATCCTACAGGACTACCGGGAAGTTGAACATGGTGGTGGGCATGGCTGGCACCAAACCCGCATCGGACTTGCCCTGAAGACGCCCATGCAGCCTCGCAGCTCCGCTCCCCAGAGCGAAACGCCCGTGAGGCAGATTTGCCCAGGGAGCCCTAAAAACCCCAGAACAGTTTTGCTCCTGCGCACAGCCAGGCGTCCTGGAAAGGAGAAAGTCTTCAGGAGAAGCCACGCATTTCTGGGCGACATCGCCGACGGAAAAATAAATGCTTTAGCACAGCTCGGGACTGGACGCTAAGGAGGAACAGAAAGATGGGGGCACTGGCGCCCTTTCTCACTCCCATGCAGCTCCCACCCATGGTAGCTGGTGACTCCCAGGGTTTTTCGGCGCGGGGGCAGGAGAGCAGCGGTTCTGCAGCTCACGAACCCCCGGGCGCAGCCCCGCGG